AGCAATGTGAAGAAGGTGACGCTCGAATTGGGTGGCAAGAGTCCTAACATCATTTTTGCCGATGCTGATTGTAAGTTGATGGGATTTCCTGAAAGCTTTCTTAGGTCTTCTTCTATAACACTTATAAAAGCCTTTCATGTACTTCAAAAGACACGCGGCCCATATTTTTTGTAAGTAGATAGTGGACTCTTCAAGAAGATAGATCCAGAAAATTCGTTGTGCGCTGCTCCTTTTTCGTTTCGCGCAATTGACAAATCAGAATACTTTTTTTTTCTATTTGCTAACACGTAGTGCAACAGAGATCTTCATATTTCAAATTTATTTCGACAAATGCTTTTGAAGCAATTTTTATCGAAATAGATTAGAACGTAAAATAGTTATAGATGGGGAGAACGGATTCTCCACAAGAAAAACTGCGACCTGCTGAAACCGGTGAAATACTTTGATTATCTCATTCTCGACAGAATTGTAAGAAAAAATACATTCATCTTTGATGAGTTTTTCAATTGTATGTGCCGTGATTTAATCATTTCCTTTTTTTAACTTTTTTCTTAGTGTTTTGAGACAAGATAGTTTATACGATGAGCAACGGAGGAAATTTCAGTGAACAAAGTTCTTTGTTCCTATAAGATCTTCAATAGAAATTTATTAATTTAGCCAATGACATCAATAGGAAGTTTTGATTTGTGCTAATTGTTTATTTTCCTCAGAAGCTGTTATTGCATGAAATCATCACTATAACCACGTCAACCTGTCACTTCAATCAAATGCGTTCTAGGGCTCAATGTGCTTCTTTTTCCTCGTTTGCGAAATTGAAGGGAGATGCGTTTTTTAGTGGACTTTGCTGCTAAGCAAGCTCATCATGGTATATTCTTCAATCAAGGACAAACTTGTTGTGCAGGATCTCGAGTTTTCGTTGAAGGAAAAGTAAATTTTCGAAGTAGTAGTTTCATGCTCTGATTCTTCCCAAATAAAAATTCGTTTTCAGATCTATGACGATTTCATTGCTAAGTCGAAAGAACTGGCTGAGAGAAGGGTTCTTGGTGACCCGTTTGATCTAAAAACTGAACAAGGCCCTCAGGTAATTGTATTCCTCAATTCCCTTATAAAGGGTAAGTTGTGACTGAAGATTTAGGTAGATGACGCACAGCTACAAACAATCATTCGGTACGTTGAGGCTGGCAAGAAGGAAGGAGCTAAACTGGTCTGTGGTA